TTTGCACATATCGCCAGCACCATTAAGTGATGGTTTAACATAAGGAATGGGCATTTTAAAAACCTCCACAGCTTTGGTTGGGGATGATATGATCTTAAAAACTGGTCTCTATATAAAGTGCATCAGAACAAAAGAACAATCGATAAACAGCATAATTAGCAACAGATGTTCAAAATACCCTTGGGTATTCACCCACAAAATTTATATTCTAATGCAGAAAGAGTTTATACGTGTTCTTTAAAGATTTCTGCCACTTCTTGAAAAGTCCCAATACTTCTGTTGAGAAAAATTTAAAAAATCCAATTCAATGAACAACTTTTGATACGTTCTTCCAACTGCATGTTTTTACCAAAAAATGCTTCAGTGTAAATGAAAAATACTGGTTTCTATACTTTAGATTTCTGTTTCCCACATGAATAAACTACACATAAAGACGGTTCTATCACACTATCTTCCTAGTGTGGTTTTCCTTTAGAGCTTAATAGATCCTGCCTACACTGAGGATGAATAAAAATTGTAGAGTTTTTTTTTTTTCTGTTTTGATATCATTCCAGAAGCTGCCATTTTATAAATGTGACTAAGGGGGCCCAAACTGACACAGAGGCCTCCGCTTTAGCCAGCAAGGGTTTAATTTGTCGTGTTAAAAAGAAACAAGCCTGCCTGAAAATTGGCCATCTCTGATAAAGGAAAAAAAATTTTCTAAAATACATTCATTCATTCATTCACTTAATTGTTCAAATACCCTTCTATTCTTTTAAAAGTAAACTGTCAGATGAGACCCATTATCTATTTAAGCCACTTATATAGGTCAGCTAATATGGGTGATGCTTTTTTAAGCACCGTCTGACTCAGCACATTTCTGCATTTTGCTAACAAAGTAACAGTCCATAATAATATTTTAATCAATGCCAAAGAACAATAATAGATCTGACTGCGGGGCTGATAATCGTCTTATCACACCCCGTGAAACCTAGCTCTAATATTTGAGGGAGCCTCCATTACTGGGCAGCCCATTCTGAAAAAGGCCAACAATGGGAGAGAATGAAGTGGAGTGTGCAGTAACTCCGTATCTACATAAAAGAGATTAGAGGCGACAGCATTCCATTTTACAGCTCAATCATATTGTGTTAGCATGCGCTTATCCGAGCGCGGACGAAATTGAAAGAGAAATAAAAAAGAGTCAGGCAGATAGGAACCAGAAAAGCGAGGCATGAGCAATTTCCAAGGATATAAAAGGATGCTAATGGCGGGGCCCTGTCATTCTTAAAAAGGGCTATTAGGGCACCATCATCTGTTCTTGTGCCCTTATGCTCTTCCAACTAAAGTCAAGCATTTTCTAAAGCCCTTGTGATCTTTTTTCTTCTATAGATAAAGTATGGTCATGTTTCCTAAGAACACACTTTTCCATTTATGTGATTTATTAAAGTAAGTCAACTAATTCGATTTACTGATAAAAAAAAAACCACGCCATATGTATTTTCCTTCAATATTTTCTTTTGTTGAATTCTGCACTTTCTTATGTAGCAAAAGCAAGGATAGAAGAATCCCTTCCTAGCAGTGCAGAGAGGCTACGGATCTTGTCTGAGATGTTAAACTTAATTTTTGAACTCTGTGTGTGTGTGTGTGTGTGTGTGTGTGTGTGTGTGTCTGTGTGTGTGATGACACAAACTGAGAACAGCATAGAGAGAGCAAAGGCTTTACATTTTAGTACTAAAGAAAGATTTCACTTTAATTTTAATAGAAGCTTTACACAAAGAGTTTTGAAGTTAAGACAAAGACGGGTGAAATTTCAGTTCTGACTTGACTTTAATTCAGGCTCTGACCCCAGTTATGAGCACTGGGTCATGTTATCAAGAACATGATTTTACTTCTATCAAGGCAGAAATGTGACCTTAATCTTTATACTCTCTTTGTCTCCCGCCCCCCCCAGCCCCCCATCCTATGCTCCAAATCGCTGCTGCACCCAACCTCCCCAAAGCCCAGGTATACCAGCACTCTTGACATCAGAGGACCCTCTTCGTCTACCTCAAAACAGGGTATGGCACGCTTATTATTTAACAATTTAAAAGAATTCCAGCTAATTCTTGTTTGGCTAGTCCTTTTCTGAAAAGCCAAGCCACTCCTTCTAATCATTTAAACACCCTGAGGGTATCTCGAACACCAGAGCGGTGAATCATCACTCCACAGTGACCTCCTCTGGCATTTGCTGTGGAGAGAGAATCACGTCAGTCTCCACCAATTCTAAGCCTCAGCTTAAGACTGAACACATAATCGTACAGTAATTGTTTCCACCACTGGAAATGCTGTTACTCATAGTTATTTAAAGTTACTGTCTTCACAAAAGTCACCAGAGCCCCTTTACTGTGACAGGTTCCTTTGTGAGCTGACATTTCTACTTAGACGCACAACTGGACCCACAAATTTATCATGGACGTTTCCTTACCAGAGAGCGTGGTAAGGAGTTGTTGACTATCATTGGTCATTATTACGGGACTGTCTGAGCAAAATTAAAATACTGGCTTAACAGGTCTCTTAATTCAGGGAGAACATGCACAGAGCTTCCTAAAATAATGGAGGGTTTCCAGTCATAGCGACACAGTGTCTCATGCTGTTGTTATCAGTAATACCAACACTACCATCACTCTTACTCTGAAGCGCTTCTTTCAAATGCAGCCCATTGAGCAGTATCCTGATTCTACTCTAGGAAACAGTGTGGCTTTGAAGACGTCAGACACATTTGTGAATTGGTGCAGGGGACTTTACCTCTTATGCCTCAAATGTCCCTGTCTTTGAATTAAAGATAATAGGACTGGATTCCTGGATTAAAACAGGAGTTCTCGGTCGGGGAAGATGGGCAGAGTTCCGCCCACCAGAGGACACATGTCCATATCTGAAGACATTTTTGTTTGTCACAACTCAAGGGTGGTAGTGATAGAAACCCAGGACGCTGCTTGCTGACCATCCTACCAGGAACAGGACAGTCCCCACAACAAAGGATGAATGGATCCGGTATCAGTAGTGTCAAGGCTGAGAAACCCTGAGTTAGAATAAGGATATTTTTTGTCCTTTTTACTTTTTTATTTTTAAGAAAGGGAAGGGAGGGAAAGAGAGAAAGAGGAGGAGAAAGGAGAGCGAGGGAGAGGGGAAGAGAGAATCTTAAGCACGCTCCTCACCCAGCAGAGAGCCCAATGCAAGGCTCATTCTCACAACCCCCAGATCATGACCTGAGCCAAAATCAGGAGCTGGATGCTTAACCAACCGACTGAACCACCCAGGCACCCCAGACTAATGAATGACATTTTAAATATGTGAGTATAGAGGTGCCTAGTTGGCTCAGTCAGTAGAGGGTACAACTCTTGATCTCAGCATTGTTGGTTTGAGCCCCACACTGGGTGTAAAAATTACCTACAAATAAAATCCTTTTTAAAAAATTAAAAAAAAATAAAATATGTGAGTATGTACGTGCATGTGTGTACATGTCTATATACATAAAGTAATGAAATATATAAATACAAATGATATATATTGACTATCTAAAGAAGTGTGGATACTTCAACAAATACTAATTTTCTTCTGCTCTAAAACCTTCAGGCAACTCTTCATCTAGGTAAGTTTTCATACGTTATTTAAGCAAATTCTGACAGTTCCCACCGCCACAATTCCCAAATGTCTTAACATCGTTTAGCATATCCTTTCTTTTTTCCCTTTTTTAGAAGTCACATAGATATGATTACAATCGAAATGTGATATCAACTATCCACATGATGAAATTCACATCCTTCTCGTACATGTAGTAACCCTCGTTAAGTATCTTCTAAAGAACACACTCAAGCTCACCTCTTTAACTAGTTTTGACTTAATTTGGGGTGCTTTATTAGCAAACGGTGTAAGACAAAGTAGCTGGTATAATACAGAGTGATGTTTAAATTAGTTTACAATTTGCTTGGCCTCATCTAGAACTGCACCGAACAAAGCCATTCAGAAATGTCAGCTGTGTTCCTAACCACTGTAACAAATTGTCGTCTGAACGCGGCACACCTAATGACTTCAAATTAGCTTCACTGCGATATCGCCTGACAGTTCGTTACGACTGTTAGCAACATAGCTGGCGTATCATGACCAAGAAATTGGTTTCAATGTGGGCTGGGAAAGGGACTTCCATCAATTTGATTAAAGAAATTACTGTAGCATTCAAAGCATAAAGACAAACTAGTTTAAGGAGACAGAAGGAAGTTAACCGTACAGAAAAACACCGCTCATCATTCAAAAACTTGTTTACCAACTACTTGAAGATCGAAGTTCAAACAAACACAAATAATTCAGGCAGATTGCCAACATTGCCAACTCTTGAGACCAGGTAGGTTTACTGATGTTATTGGCATGGGCCGAGAAAGAAAAGTAATGGGGTACTTTAAAATACTACGTTTAAGTTACTGTATGAGAAAGTTTATGATGTCCATTTAATATTGATTTTTACAACTTGTGTATAAATTCATGGTGAATATCTAATTGTCAACCAAAGCTGTGCTGGCAAATAGAAGGAGCAAGGCGGTGTGAACAGCCACCATGAAAACACGTGAGGGAGTCTTAAAAGGAAAAAAAGGTATGTTAGATGTGTGCTGACAAAGACATTTTTTAAAGTGAAAAGAAAAAAGAGAAGTATTTCCTTAAGAGAAAGCTCAGAATTTTAAGAGGGAGAAAGACACATTTTTTTTTTTTTAAAGTTATATTCTCTTTACCTTATGTTGGCAATAGTACCACTGTCTATGAAAAACAAAAACAGAAAAACAGAGTTCAAGGTGGTACAGATAGAGAAAGGCTTATGGTTCCGGGAAGGTTAAGCAAAGCTCAAAATGAAGTATGATTAAAAACACACGTGAAGGTTAAAAAAACATAGCAATGAGAAATTTTTAGATTTGCTTAAATATACATATTAGGGAATTATTGCAACCTTTTCTGTTTCATTTTTATTTATTTATTTTTCTTTTCAGAAAATGTACCTGGAATGTGCTTCGCCCATCCAATGATAACCACCAATTCCCGGTCGGCCAAGTCGCACAGGGTGGTGAGAGCTTTGATGTCACTGTCAGGGACAGTAGGGTCAGGCATGGCATAGATCTTCTCCGGTTCAGCCACCAACAAATGTGAGACAATCTTGTTATCTGCAGGATCAGACCAGAGCACTACAAGATCACTAGTAGCACTATCCCGCTTTCCCAAACCCTAAAGTCTGCTGCGTTTTGACAAATAATTCCAATTGCCTACAACAAACCCCAGATACTCTGTTTCTGGTTCGATATATGCAGAGTAAACAGTGTTCAGGAAAACTCAGAGGAAGAAAGAAGCCACCGCAGTTGTAAGAGAATGCATTCCTTTCTTCTTCTCTGCTCTACCTGCCTTTGCTGGAATGAAGCATCTGTCCTGTAATGAAATTTTTTATAGCAAACAGATAAGAGAAGTTAGATGCTTTCTGGGTTTGCTCTTTGATTCTTAAGTGGGATTTGGGGAAGCAGATTCAATAGTATACAACATGTTTAAACTAAAAATCCACAGTCAACCACTGAAATATAGAACATACTGCAGAAAGCAAAGAACTACCAACGCCCATAGTCATAATGGGCACGAAAGTCATTAATTGTCTTAATTCCTTCAAAGAAGAGCAAAGGTCAGAGCCCTTCTGCCTGGGTGAATTACTGACTATATAACTCTATCTCTGTGGGATGCATTAAATAGGAATTTCTCTCCTTTCTCTCCCTCCCCTTACACTCAGCCAATCCTTCAAATATAGCCAATATCTGTTTCCAGGAAAACACTCCTACCTAAATGTTACCATATTTTCTCTTTGGAGTGTCTAATTCTTTAAACCTTTATTTTCATCTTTTGTCTTTAGCTCATTCTCTGGTTCAGATTTATCTGTCTGAAATTTGTGATATATGTTTTTAAAACCCTTCATAAAATAAACACTAGAGACAAATGGAAAGCATCACATCAGATGTGTTTTATTGCTTAGGGGCATGTGAGAGTTTATGAAAGGGTTGTAAAGCCTTGCTAACGGAATGATTTTTCTTGTTGGCCCTATTCTCAATTTCTATGTGTAGCTTTAGATTTTATACTTTCTTCTAAGTGAAGAGATACAAATGTGTATGGATAAACCCAAATATTTCAATGTTCTGTGTACTATTACTCTAGCAAACCAGGGCATTAAATGGGACTTTTGTGAGCAAAGCCAGTTCTCTTTACATTTACTAGATAATTTTCCTTTCATTCTAAGTTTTTAACTTTTTCAACCCAAAACAAAAAAACTGCACATAGCATTTCTTTTAGTCTTCTTTAACAAAATGACAAGGAGATTATCCAAGCTATAATTAGCCATTTTTCTGACATTTTAATACTTTATTACTATGGCTGCTATATGAATTACATTTATTGCAAATAATCAACAGATAACCATTCATTGACTGTAATATTCAATTATCACCAAATTGAAAATGCAGATTTGGGAGGAAATACTCCCAAACATCATATTTTGTAGGGAAAAAATAAAATTAAATACAGATTCTTTTTTTTTTTTTTAATTTGTAGGATCTGTGAAGAATGGCATTTGTTTCTTATATATGCTATGGAAACAACACCCTGTATTTTTAGTTACGCTTGGAAAAGTTTCAACTTTCATCGCTCTGACAATGCAACAAAACCTGTCAGCACCCGCGAGTTTGTCAGGATTAGACGAAATGCAATATTTAATAAAGGGCACACAAATGTGCCCAAAGGAAATCTTGATTCTGGATCTTTTTGTCCTGGGAAGATGGTTACCTGTTTGACCCAAATCAATGGATACTTGACCGGAAGGGTCAGAGAAATTTGGTGGAAGCTAAGAAATTCCCATCATTCAGAAAACAGAATAGCCGACAGGACGGTTTCTAGGTAAATCTTATTTAATGTTTCCCTAATTAGAATCAATAGAACCCAATTTCCATTCTTGGGCTTTTGTAGTACACAAACAATCGGTCAGGGCCCAGAAATCTCCCTCAGCCACTTTCTCAGCAAAGCCCAGGCACAGCCTCTTGACACTTATCTGACAGGATCTGAAAATTAAGTTTTATAAATGTTTGTTACAAAAACACACTAATTGGATGGACTAAGGAAAATTAACACAGAGGCCTTGAGATAATGAGTAATGATTTATTAGGAGGCCTCTTTATCTCAGACAAATGGAGCTCACTGAAATTGCTATAATCTTCTGGAAGGTACTTGACGAGCCACTTCCCAATTTCTCAGGTTTACGCCGAAAACCACAGATGTCCCTCCATCAAATGGACGCGCAAACCGGGCCAGGGATCATTTTTCTCTCAGGAGAGGAAATTATCAATGGTTTCAGTCAATGCTCATGTAAAATGAATGAGATATAGGCAGTGTGTATGATACTGAGTCTAGGAAAACTAACCTCTAATGAAATTAAGCATTAGTGTTTATTGCGTTTTATTGTATTATCAGAAAGTTTTTTATTATAATGTGCAAAATCTGCTTAATGCAGTCCTAGATTGTATTTGCAGAATGCCAAACAGCTTATGCAAGCTGAGGAGAGGATGCCAGATTGGACAATTGAAGGTATAATCAACATAATGTTTTTTGGAAAGGCGAAAGGAAACTATGCCATATGTTCACTTAAGCTTTAATTTTATGTAAAACTGGTTGTTTTTCCTTTGACATAGCTAAAATGTCCTTTCATTTACAGTTCAGGGTCTGTTTTATTTATTTAACAGATCCCCATATGCTCACATGTATGATGCACAGCAGCGACCCCTCCTGGAGAGTCGGAATTAGAAGCGGACGCCTTCTCTTCCTTTGAAAGCAGATCAACCATTGCCTGTGTCTCTTCTACAAGCGCTAAGATGCACCCTCCTCTGGTAGGTGCTGGTTGTGTCCTCTGAGGCCAGGAGAGCTAAACGCGGGAACTGATTCCATCAAGCACTTCTCAGTGCCTCGTACAAACTCTGTGCATAAATATCCTGAAAGGCTAGTTCTGTTGCAGTAGAACAACGAACTGACTTTTCAGAAAATGGGATGCAGTTATTGCCTCAATCTACATTCCAACTCTTTCTAGTTCATGACAAAGAGAATGGGGCTTGAGTTTTAGTAATGTAACCATCATCCTTTCCAACTGCAATCTGGCATTATAAAACCACGGACTCTTTAAAAACAATTCATGATGCCCATAAGGGCATCTGAGATAGAACCATCAACCTATGCTTGTTACCAGCAGGGCCTCTTCTTATTTTAATCTATTGCTAGCTAGTGTGTTAACCTTCTATAGCGTCAAATTAATGAGGCTCCTAATGTATTTTCATTGGGAGGTTGAGCAGTCAAACTCATTTAGTTAGTGAAAACTACAAAAATCACTTTCTTGTGAAATCTGAAACTAACAGCTCCAATGAACTAATGATTACAGTATGATCCATTTTATGTACCTCTGGAAATAAAGATAACCAGCAAATGTAAAATTCGCATTATATAAGCTGTGCCTTAATAGGCTTGTGCTTCTACAAAATGACTTGGTGAAAAAGGGTAAGGGAGAGAAAACCCATAGGAAAAAAAAAAAAAAAAAGATAATTAGCCGAGTAGCTGTTGCTCCTCAAAGGCAATCCTTGGGAACAGAGCCATGGCCCCCCAACAAAGACAAGTCTCCTTGGAGTCAGTAGGGATGGGCATGCCAAGACCGATACACATAGAGCCAACTGGGAGGATTCCGTGTGTTGGAAAGCCAGACATGTCTGCTGTACTTACATGGCTTTTTGGCTGGCTGAACCAGCTGAGGGTTCAGGTAGGGGCTGTTCTCCGCATCTATTCTGCGCTTGTACTTCTGCCGACCTCCACGTACTCTGTCAAGACGCACCCCTGTGGGCAAAGACAGGCACTGGCTTACTGCTGAGGTAGCCATCTTTGAGACCAGTCAAATACATACAGTATCACCGATCAGTGCTATGGAGACAGACAGTAGAACACAGAATGGTCCAGAGGTATTGGAGGAATGTTTAATAACAAAAGAAAGTGGTGGCTAAAACACAATGGCCAGGGGTTGGCAAGCATATCTGTAGAGCATGACAAACCTGAAACACATTTCATGCAAGGCCATCAAAATCACATTTACACACCAAAGGAAAGGCACATTTCCATGGGCGTTAACGCAAAGAAATTTTTCCTTGGTACTAGCCTCGTTTCTCAAAATAAAGACAATGGCTATCTGTATCCTCTTTACCAGTTACCCATGAAAGCTCACCGTGTAAAAGTGATCCAGCCCTCCCCAGTCTACCACGGGGTTCACTATGGAACGGAGTTGAACTGAAAGCACCTTCGTGCTCTGGAAAGCCGGAATTATACTCTGCAAGATGAGAGGTGAGGACTGCTCCCTATTATCATGTCAACATGTCTCAGAGGAGAATGTTATTTACATTTTGGTGCACATGTGTATCTTCTTCCAAATGACAGAAAACTGGGAGTAAGTTTGGACTGGACACGGGACAGAAAGAGGAGCTTCCTGAAAGATTCAGAAGGCTAGGATGTTGAAGGAGGGCTGTGTCCGTGAGACAGAGCTAAGGGTGAAGCCAGAAAAGGAGGTAGACAGGGAGTTACTAAAACTTCTTCCTAAAGAGTGGTGGATTGGGTCAAGATACAGCAGGTTTTTGCTCACATGGGATTTAAAAGATTGAGGAAAGAGGCAAAATGGAAAGAAAGAAATAAAAATAAATGTTTCATGGATACTGGGGAGTGGTAAGAAGAGCTCGTTAATAACTTGGTTTCCAGTCTGTCACGGTGAAGTTCAGGCCAGGACCATACAAACCCTCACCTAATACAGAGCTTACTTTGGGAGTAAGAGCAAGACAAACTCACTCTGTGGTATTACCTTAACTGACAAAACGGTATAACATTATCCCTTAATAAATTCAACCAAGAAGTTCATTGTACATGGAGTTTCCCAAAATGTTTAGAAAACAGATTTGGTCCCACAGCATCATCAGTATTATTATTTTACTGAAAGGGCTCTCAGACCCTTTAAAATGCAAATGGCCTCCGTAAAACTCTCAAAAGGAGATACAGCCTATGCAGTGTTTCGCAAACCAATTTCACCAAAGATCCGGTTTCGGGAATTTTATGACTATCATGTGGAACGCGTGAATTGTGGGTTCTCTGAGTTACACAACACAGTTTGGGAAATGTGGACACAGTTCTACATGAACCCTGAAGTGAATACAGACACTCACATGTTAAGGATTACTGTTCCACCACGAGATAAAGTAAAACACAATTTTTCATGTTATCTTAATAATACGGCTTTAAGAGCTGATTATCTTTTAGCGGAACACGGGAATACACACTTGGTTGTAGATAAATCCTGAACTGTCATACCAAAATGTCAGAGCAGCATTTAAATGAAATCAGGAGACAACTTCAAGAGCAATTAAGTAGGTTTTGACAGCAAATTTCACAAAACAAAGACATTAGTACAGTGCCTAAGTATTTACTAAAAATAGTGCATGAAGATCACGAAGAAGCTGTATTTCCTCACTGCTGCTTTTAAACGCTTTCTGCCTACAGTAGGGTTCTGTTCCCTTGTTCATCTGATTTCTAGAGTACAAAGCTGGATGGCAAACAGACGGTGTAACGGGGATATCACACTTCGTCCTATTAGGATGCCGATTTCATACAGATGAAACGTAGAGAACAAAGAACAGAAATATTTGATCAAAATGTTTAAACTAGGGGCGCCTGGGTGGCTCAGTGGGTTAAAGCCTCTGCCTTCAGCTCAGGTCACGATCTCAGGATCCTGGGATGGAGCCCCACATCGGGCTCTCTGCTCAGTGGGGAGCCTGCTTCCTCCTCTCTCTCTCTGTCTGCCTCTCTGCCTACTTGTGATCTCTGTCAAAAAAATAAATAAAATCTTTTTTAAAATGTTTAAAATACTGTAAATCAAACACTGTAACTGAAGATTCTACCTCCACCACACTTGACAACACATAGGTTTGAACTGTAGTTTCTCATTAGTAGGAATACGTGCAATTGATCGTTGAGTTACAAAAGAAACACCTATCTGTAAAAAAATGAAGAGTGTTGAGAGGGAAAAAAAAAAAGATATTAAAATTCACCAGACAAGAATATTTTAGGGCGCCTGGGTGGGTCAGTCGTTAAGCGACTCCCTTCAGTTCAGGTCATGATCCCAGGGTCCTGGGATTGAGGCCCACATTGGGCTCCCTGCTCAGCTCAGCGGAAAGTCTGCTTCTCCCTCTCCCACTTCCCCTGCTTGTGATCCCCCTCTCTCTGCGTCTCTGTCAAATAAATAAATAAAATCTAAAAAAAAAAAGAATATTTTAATGTAATTGTTTGTAAGTGCTATTTTATAGAAAACTTCTCGATCTAGTCTAAAATTGTTTGCCTTGCATATATCAAAATACAATATGTATCAACGATTTACATATACCTGTCAGCTAGAACCACAGTCTGCAATAATGATGTTGTGAAAAGATTAAAGGTCCCCCTTTTAATGTTTCCAACTATAATAGCATAATAATTTATTCCTAAATATTGGGTAAAGAATATGTTTAAAAGTAAAGCAGGGGCACCTGGGTGTCTCAGTGGGTTAAGCCTCTGCCTTTGGCTCAGGTCATGATCCCAGGGTCCTGGAATCGAGCAGGAAACCTGCTTCCCTCTCCCCGTCTGCCTGCCTCTCTGCTTACTTGCGATCTCTCTCTCCCTGTCAAATAAATAAATAAAATCTTAAAAAAAAAAAAAGATGGATGTAAAGACAGTATCCTTCCTGATGTTTTGCTGTAATGGTCCAATATTACATTTACAAAATATATTAATATGTTTGGATAATATACACGTGCATTATTTAAATATTTCATAAACCTTAAAATGCCAAGGAAAATAAGGAGCTGTTATTGTGTCATTGTTTTGTTGAAATATTACTGTATTACCTTATTGATATATATTTTGCATCATGATCATTTATTAAAAATCTGTCCTCATGGAGTATAACAGTCTACCTTGCCTCAGTTCTAAGGGAAACAGACCAAGGTATGATAGAGAGGTAAAAGATAATTCAAAGGGTGCAAGCGAAATAATGATACTCCTTTGACATCTAAGTGATTTATAGAATTATTTGGTATCCCATTCTATTTCCTGCTCATCCCTGTCATTAATAATGTCATTTTAGATTTCATTTTGGAATAGATACAGAATCAAATCTAAATTCTACCAAAAATGAGGACGCTATCACTGAGTTTAGCTCTAAGTGCACAACACAAACTTGAGCAGAGAACTGGTAATGACTCCATTCACCTAATGCATTTAAAAGTCTCCAAACAGTTTAGCAGACACAAAGAAAAACAAGAGCATTTATGATTAGGACCTGGGAAACCCAGATTCGCCCTAAAGAGACATCAATCGAATCCAGATATTTCCACCCAAGGCATCGAAGCCTGTCTCTTTCCTTCTCAGTATGTTGAAAGACAAACCATTTCTGTCTGGACTTTACTCATAACCAGTTTTGAAAAAGTAGAAAAGTAAGATTTCTCCCAGGAAATAAGATACCCGCCAGGTTCAATGTGTGACAGGATTGGAAGTTAATTAAGGCAATTGGATTTTCTAGTCATGTGGAGACCCCTATTATCTTTTTTTATTTTTTTAAATAAAAGAGTTTAAGAGTTGGCAGTACCTACCAAGTACAATGTTTCAGATCGCTTCTTCCTTCAAATACTGCATGTGCCTGCATTGCCACAAGGGTATTACAAATCTTCTACATTGTCAGAATTTACAGAATTGAGAAAGCAAGAATAGGGCAAGGAGGAAAAAAATCCGCTGTGAGGCAAATAAACGCCAAGAGAAGTAAAACAGTTCAGCTGTGGGTCTTCTTAGGTCAGCTCATTTTAAGTCTACGTTTTATGCCCAAATGCAAATTTTTACAATATTATATAGTCCAAAGTCAAAAGTATTTTTCACATTTTTAATAGCACAAAGTTAGAGGCATTTCATAGGATAATAAAAGATCTCCCCTTCAGAGAATTATACAAGGGTACCCTAGCCTACTTTTCTAAATTAAAGCCCAGCCTTTTACAATGTTGTTCCCAAGCAAAGGTTTGCTCAAATGATTAGTTACATAGACCCCGGAATACTGAAGGAGCAGACAGTCACGTTAAAGTGATAATATTTTTTAAGAGATAATGACTTTTTTTGAAGATTAGTTAATTTAATGAATACTAAATAGTTGTATTGAATAAATGTTACCACACATGGCTTGTAATTGAGTTTTTGGGATGCAACTGGAGAAGCAAGGCTTCCTGATACTGCAGGTGAAGAGGGTGAGAACCCTCCCCTCCGCTATGGGCCTTCCTGATACCGCAGTTCCCGTCGCTGCAGAAGGAAACACGCTCCTTCCCTTTGGGAAGAGAGGTACCGAGCAGCGCCCTGGAATTCTCCTGAGACTCCTGCGAGGGAACCCTCACCAACAGAGGACAGAGAAAATCCCTTTGAGGAGCTGCAGGAAAGGAAGCTAAGGCAGATTAGCAGTATCGGACATGGCAGAGGGTAATTTAGTGGGGACCCCTGACGGGGTTCTCCTTCGGGACAACCTCCTAAAAGAGCATCCCAGTATAACCAGAAGTACTCACGCATATTTATAGGTTGCTCTTGAGGGGATGAGTGAAAATTATTTGTATATTCACACACATACCCCAGGGAGAATCTAATCATATTAAGTTGTTGAGGATCATGTGAGAAAATGAAACACACCAACCCCCAGCTATCCTCAACGACCACGGCCCCTTCTCAAAACAGACAGTGACCATTGTTCACTCTGGCTTCATGGCTTAGTCCCTCGCTTCCTGATTCAGCAGTCTCTG